AATTAAATACAAATAAAAATACATGCAATTCATGAATGTTAAAGTATTATAACACATGCTGTATGATGCGAGCATGCTCAAAAATGTTCAAAAATCGAACGTCGGCGAACGTCGGTTTTGATTAGCAAGAAAACACATGTTACCAAGTAACCAGTGCTCAATGGGGCCTACCGTATTTTTGCTCACCAGATGGCACTAGTGTGAACCTCTAGTTCTGCGTCCAGTAGGGAATTAGCTAGAGCCACACCTTTTTTTAAGGGGGCAATATCATCGAATCACTTCTCCCGCCTGGGTAAGGCGGGAGGGAGTGTCAGACTCTTACTCATTAAAAACCACCCCGTTCCTACTCATGCACTTCGAGCCGGAGCTTCGGTCGGTAACACGTTAGGTTCTCTGCGGCTCCGTATCGGCATCAGCCCTATTGAGCCCCACCCGTGGTGGTCTGATGGCTCTTTGAGGCGCGCGCGGAACGCGACGCGCCGTACGCTTGGGTCTGGTTCTGGTCGGGCAGCGAGCCACTCATGCTTGCCGTTCGCAGGCCCGCGCTTACGGTGGCCGGAGATCGTCCCGCGATCCCCGACGCCCGGTGTGTCCTTCGCGAAGTATCACACCATAGGACGTTAATATTTGACAGCTGCTGTGATTGGATAAAAATATTATCAGACACTTGCGCCCCCATTGAATTTTTTTTTTATTTAATTAATTTCAAGCATAATTTCGTACTTGAAATTAGCATGATATGTAACAATACCTTTAAGATACGTTGAGTTTGACGACGAGCGACGCGGCGACAGTCGCACTGCATGAATATGAGCCTTTATCAGGCTTGAAACTAGTCGAGTTCCTAGTCAAATAATTACGTGAGTATACCAAAAACATAAGGATTATAGAATATTAAATGAATTCATATTACATTTAGAAAATTATATTTAATAAATTACTAATCGTTTTTGAAGCTCATTTCTATTACAATAACGAGTAGTTAGTTATATCGCAACCTGTAAATACAATACGTTTCAATCAACTGTTGAGATGACTTATTGTTACAAAGGTTGCCGATCGAATGTCATGTTTTGTAACAGTTAATTCTCATAGGTTATCTGACAATTAACTATTGCTTAAGTTAACTGTACAAAATGTCATGTTACTATGTTCGACGTGTTGATTTTACTGTAACTTTTATTATTAAGTAAGGATTAGGTTCATTTTTCATCGAACTAATTTGTAATGTGTTATCAGTTTAGCAATTGCTGTTGGCAAAAAAGGTTATTGCTAATTTTTTTTTATATGCATATTTAGTGATGTATGTACAACTACATGTCACTTTTAGTGAGAGTAACTAATACTTATTCTGATCTATGAAAACTCATATTGATTCTTGTTAAAGTGCTGAAAATCGGATTAACATATTTATATTATAACTTTCGTGAGATATACTAAATTAATTATATGTATGTTTTCCTAATGAGTCCTGTCATATCATGACTTAAATAGGAGCCTCTAGTATGGCTTGATACTAGTCGAGGTACTCGTCAAATAATTACGTGAGTAAGTTGAGAAATATAATAATTAGTTTGAAAAACATGTTAAAACTGAAACTTAAAAGATATTCTAAGTTTAAAATTATCGTCATTGGTTAAAGCGCCTGATGACTATCTTAGAGCAAAATTACGATAAGCATATTATTTCCTAACACTTTATGGTAGGCGCACTTATTAAGTTACTTATCGACACTTTAATTACGCGTACTTTAATTACGTGCAGGAGAAGGAACGGGGTGGTTTTTAGTCAGTAAGAGTCTGACACTCCCTCCCGCCTCACCCAGGCGGGAGCAGTGGATCGATGATATTTCCCCTTAAAAAAAAAATACCAATCATGTCAATGTAGTAACAATGATGTATCATTCCATTTTTAATATTATTAATCATTAGACCTTAACTTTCTCAGGAATCATACTAGTACAAATAAATTAATAAAAATCAAACACAAAAGGACGGTTGTGTTTAAGTTGATAAAATTTATACAGTTATACAAAATAAGAGAAAAACCAATCGTTTTTAAATATTTTTTTTATGCTACGACGGTGGCAAAAAAGCACACGGCCCACCTGATGGTAAACAGTTACCGTGGCCTATGTACGCCTGCAACACTTGGGGCATTACATGCGTCTTGCCGACCATTAAAAAACCTATTCACTCCCCTCTTGAAGATTTTATATTTTTATGACTTCAGTTTTTTAATCAAATTTGCATATTTTTTTTAATTTTGACATAACATCACGCCCTTTATCCTAGAAGGGGTAGGCAGAGGTGCACATTCTGCCGCTGTACAATGTAACACCTACTTTTCACCATTTATGTTATGAGTCCCATGTAATAGGGGGTGAGCCTATTGCCATATACCGGACAAAATTTCAGACTCCGTGCTACTACTGAGATTTTGTTTAAAAACCCATTAATACTTTGCCCGACCCGGGAATCGAACCCGAGACCCTTTGCCCGGCAGTCGCACTTGCGACCACTCGGCAATGAGGCAGTCTCAGTTTTTATTTTGATTATGAAGAAATATTCCTTTTCTACCTCGTTGGCCCATTGGTCGCAAGTGCGACTGCGCCTGGTATGGGGGTCTCGGGTTTCCGAGTCGGGCAGAGTATTACTGTTTTTTTTTTTAATTCTCAGTAGTAGCACGGAGTCTATCATTGTGCCCGGTATATGGCAATAGGCTCACACCCTATTACGTGGGACTCATAACATAAATATTGCAAAATGCGTGTTACATTGCACTGTGGCATTAAGTGCCATAGATAATGAGCATCTCTGCCTACCCCTTCAGGGATAAAAGGTATGATGTTAGGTAATGTATGTAATTCTTCTTCTAGATAAAATATTAAATTATTATTATTTAGAATACAGGCAACACCACAAACGTCAACTTGTGAAAATTTTACTCTGCCTTTATATAAATAATTTTTACATATTTCTGTTTTCGTTTCTTCCAATATTAATCAATAATAGAAAATCCTTTTTGTTTTACAATCATATACTACCTACGCCATAGTTTTACAATACTGCATAGACGAAAATATCAAGAATCAAAATGACAATGACAGAGTCAATAATCACGAAATTAAATATATATGTATTAAATATATACATATTAAATATTATTAAATAAATATATTAAATTTATTTTTAAAACCTCGCAAATATCAGCAACGATCTTCTTACTCCGGTGTTATAAGTGTTCACAAGATAGTGGTGATTTCTTACAAGCAGATTATTCGTCTATTAACTTGGCACCCTATCATATAAAAAGCATGTATACTTAAACGGAACACCACCAGGAAATGAATTCACCTCATTAGGTACAGTAAGTTCATGCATGTTTAACAATCTATGTCCCTCGTAATGTCGTGTCACATCATTTAAATACGCACTCGTTTGCTTGTACCTGATACATACTTACATTGAATTAGCTTTATTTTTTACCACTAATGTGGACACTTGAATCCGACTGCAGTAAATATTCTTTCTATATATTTTGTTTATTATATTTATGAGGACAGGTCGGCAAACAAAAAGATAGATCACCTTATGGTAAGCAATCGGTGCTGCCCATGGACAGTCGCAACACCAGAGGAGCAGACAAATGCATTGTCGGCGGCCTTTTGGGGGTAAGAGATTTGAGGATTGTAGATTTGGGGATCGGGGAGATTGAGGAGGGGAGGAATTGAGGCGAAAGACAACGTTTCGCTTGTTGCGCGCCGTTTTTCTGTGAGACCGTGCTATCACTCCGGCCGAGCCCGCTCATTTGTGCTGAAGCACTCTCACACTTAAGTAATGGTACTTGTTTTATTGGTTTCGAGGGGAAAAATCGTTTAATGTCTTTTCTCACTTTTGGTGAGGTGAAAGGGAGATTCAGATTCTTACTGACTAAACCACCCTGTTCCTTCTCCTGCTTCTAGCCGGAGCCCTTGGTAGCTTGCTAGGTCGTCCGCAGGTCCGGTAATGGTATCACTTCTAATTTCATTGTTAATTTTGTGTATGTGCTTAAACTGCAAACAGCTCTCCTACGTTTCCTGTGATCGTGGTGGTAGTTACAGAATATGACAGATAATTTAACTAAATTCATAATATGCTTGTACCTTGCTACATACGCTATTGTTGTGGTATGCAAACAATCGTTCTTTCTATAATATTATTAAGTACAGTTACATTATATTATGGAAAGTGGAATGACAAATTGTTAAACAACTATTGGATCGAACACTATTATTAAGGATCGAGATTGCTAACAGTCGAGTCAACAGAGGTAAAAACTTTCAACAGTGAGTTTTATAGAAATGTGAATTTGCTTAAAATATTGCAGCAAATTTTTTTACGTAAATGTGTTTGTAATACAGAAGTTAATTGTGAATAATTATTAAAAAAAAAATGTAAGTTGAAATCCAAAACAACAAACTTCTCGTGTGTGTCTTGCTATGCTAGATTTACACTCTCGCGCGAATCGAGACGAGGCCGAGATACATTGCTGTTATTATTAAAGACTTGTAGTCCTTCTCATATTATAAAACTGCAATGTACTGCAGCCTCGTGTCCACTCGTGCGAGAGTGTGAATGTAGCATTAATTATCTGCCCTAAAATGAGCTATGGACAATTCAGCCTATTTTCTGACGCTGTGATAAAAAAACAGAACGTAATTATTATTAAACTATCAAATTCTGGTAGGGATATCCGGTAAGGTCTTCAACAAACAGAAACACATGTTAATTAATTTTATACATTAACTAAACAAAAATGAGAACGCACTTTATTAGAATACAATAGGGAGTGTGCATTTGTTTACAGCAGGGCTCATACATCTAGTTGTTGATATAGATTTCTTCATTTCCATTCCCTTCGAATTCTTCATTTGCAGTGTATATCGTGATATGACTAAACGTGATATGGAGTAAGGTGTGGTTGTGGATGAAACAGTAGAAGGTAATATTGTAATCAAGATGGATGCAGGCTTGGAATATATTGTGGAAGATCATGGTGTTAAGGAAACTTATTGTAAGTATTGTTATTTTATTTACATCTTTAGTAGTGATTTTTGTGAAGTTTTTGTTTATGGGATAACAATCGGCGTCATCTAGAACACCAGAGGCATTACAAGTGCGTTACCGGCCTTTTGGTGATTAGGAATTTGAGGATTATTGGGGATTTAGGGATTGGGGAGATTGGGGAAGAGAAGGGGGTGATTTGGACTCGGGTAACCTCACTCAGTCGACAAAACTCAAATGTTTTCTGGTTCATGCTGAAATATGTAAAACTGTTCCGTTTGAAAATAACAGCTTTTCAAAAAAAATTGGAAAATACTATTTCAAAATGATTTAAGTGAGCACAGCACTTGTTAGAATAAATTTAGAAGCGATTAGTAAATTTGAATATATTATGTCATTATAAGTAAAAGCGGGTAAGTAATTACATTGTGCGCCTAACAGAAAACTCTACAAAATATTGTTTTGTCAGCGTGCTCATTTAAACAAGAAACTACTCCACATTACAATTATAGACATCAATTATTTTTCTGGGTATTCCTCAGGGTAGCATCATGGGTCCATTCTAAGAAAATAAACCTTCTTTCTTCTTTTCCATTCTCAGGAAGACTGTATGTATCTGAAATAATTACAAATTAATTATTATTAACTGGTTTTCAGTATCTATACCGACATGGACATTGCAAGAGACGCTGGTTGGGCTGACCTTAGTTCTAGCAGCCTACCTGATCCTTGTTATGAAAATATTACCAACATATATGAAGAATAGGGAGCCATTTCAATTGAAAAAATTGATGTTGGCGTATAACGCATTCCAAGTCGCCTTCTCAGTCTACTTGGTATTTATCGTAAGTGAAATTTGTTGCTTCTATTAATTGTATAGGCGCTCCAATATTTATATTTGGTTTATTGTTTAGTTGTTACATTTAGTCACAAGAACTTGCTTTATGGAAGGTTAAGAGTATGTTTTTATAATTTTTGATATAAGGATCTGTTTCGCTTAATTTTGATTGTGATTATTTTGTTAGCAATTGGCATAAAATTGTGTTAAAAGTACTTTTATTGAATTTAATTGTCTGTAATAAAGCATGGACAGTTTATACCAGTACCTGCGCACAATTAGTCGTTTTTTTATTAAATTTAATATACATATAACTGTGACTTGGACTTAACAGATTTAATAAGAAAAAGACAAGATAGGTAAAACATACAGAATTGAATTGCAGTTTTTAAAAACTAAATGTAGGTACAATTATTTAAGATAGAGATTGTTCGTAACTTGCTTTTACGAAATTGATTGCTATGAGAAAATAACCATTATTACAATCAGATATGTAGTAATATATACATAATAATTAATATACATACATCGATGGTTCCTAAGTTAATTAAAGTCAAATTATTTTTGGTATTCGCGAATTAAGTAGGTAATACCTTGTAACTAATAGGGACATGATAAATTAATGATTTACATTAATTAATTATTTGTATTTTAATATTTATATTTGAAGAAATGTCTATGACTGTATTTACTACATACATATTTAGATTTATTTTGGGTATTTTACATATTTTTGTTGTTTTCTTTTTCAGTATTTGAGATATATCTATCGATTTAATGTAATTACAACGAGATGTCCTCAAGGAGAAGATTTACAAGGAGTAAGTATCATTATAAATATTATACGTTTAATGGGTATAATCTTTATCTATATTATGTACCAGTTCTTTGAACAGTTGAAAAATTTAAGCCAGTTTTTATTCTAGAAGTTGCAGCAGGAACCCAGAAACATTCTTAATGAAAAATGGTTCTAGAAAAATTGAAACCCTAATAATATTATATATGCGAAATTTAGTATATTATTTGATTATTACTCCTTCATGTCAAAACAGCTGATGGGAAACGAATAAAATTTGGAACCATAATTCAATCACCTGTTGTGGTCTGTAATAACACATAGGTAGGCTATTTTTTATACCACGAGAACGCGGGCGAAGCCGCTGGCAGAAGCTAGTATTATAATAATACTGAGGGTAATAAATCTCAGGTCATTTAAGGCAATAAAGGGATCAATTTGAATCCTGCAAAAATTACATTTTATGAAAATGTGACTATTTGGCTATATCGTTTCTTTGATGCTCCTTAAGCAACCATTATTTTACGTAATTATGTAGGCACGTTTATATTAAAAATAATATTTCAAACTTTATTTTAACCTTACAGGTCGTTCGCGAAATCTATCCGTACTTTATAGCGAAACATTTGGATCTTTTTGACACAGTATTCTTCGTCCTTCGCAAAAAGGACAATCAGATCACATTTCTTCACCTCTACCATCATACTTCCATGGTCACTTGGACCTGGTTGCACTTGATGTACCATCCTACTGACAATTTTGTGGTCGTTGGCATGTTGAACAGTTTTGTACATGTCCTCATGTATGCCTATTATGGGATTTCATCCTTGGGACCTGCTTATGCAAAGTACATCTGGTGGAAGAAGCACTTGACTAAGGTTCAGCTGGTGAGTGTTCATTTGTTTTTTTACTGACATTAAGTTTTTTTTTATGGCATAAGCCGGTTAACATGCTGATGGATCACCTGATGGTAAGCAATTCGCGCCGCCCATGGACACCTCAAACACCAAGGCGTTACAAGTGCGTTACCGTCTTTATGGGAATTTGAGGATTGTGGAGGATTCGGGGATTGGAGAGACTGGGGAGAGGGGATAATTGGGCCTCCGGTAACCTCACTCACACGACGAAATACAACGCAAGCGATGTTTCACGACGGTTTTTTGTGAGGCCGTGGTATCACTCCGGTCGAGCCGGCCCATTCATGCCGAAACATGGCTCTCCCACACTTAATTTATGAAGTCTTTTCTGCTTCTTTGTTGACTATAGACTTTAGCATTTAAAATACACTAAAATGCTAAATAATTTGTTATTTTTAACAATAAGCATCAATATGAGTTATGTAATCGAAAACAGTCTAAATAAAAAATCAGAAACTTCGCTTTTGTCAGAGGTCACCAAAAGTATGGGTGGAACTAATAAAATAAAATCTTTAGTTGAATGGCAGTTCCATCTCACCGAAAACGATTTAGTAAGATTTGATATCTGAGTGATGACCGTAGCAAAAGAAAATTTGATGCGTCCATACGTGAATGTAACAATACCACGTTTCCATTATGAGGTTAATTGAAAATATCAAATAGTAGTAGTTTTTAATAAAAATATCTTTTTCATCTTTGGACTACTGAACTCCAGTATTTAGTATTGGTATTCCTCTTTTTTTATTATATTTCATGGGCCGACATTTGGCTACTATCTCGCCTGGTGGTAAGCGATGATACGACTTACGATTGAGTACATCTGTCCATAAGCAACCTATTCACTCGATGTACGAGCTGCTAGCCCGTACAGAAGATTTTTGTGTGTTGAGCAAAAAAGCAGGGATTGAGTAGACGGAATGTTGACAGGAAATCACCGTACTGTGTCCGTCCGGATTAAATTTGTTGTAAAAACTCATTAATAAATTTACATGTATCAATAAAGTAAACTTTATCGTCATGGCGTAAATGGCGTGATTGCCTATTCAGCTAATATAAATTAAAGACTCTGTACAAGCCACTTCAAAGAAAACTTTGATCTTTCCACCTATGTTGCTTTGTTTATCTTTCAGGTCCAGTTTATCCTCGTAGTCTCCCATCTCCACTACCAGCAGAAACTCTCCCCCTGTCCACTCCCGAGTTTCTTCCACAACTTCTGCATGCTCCTCATCTGCACCTTCTTTGTCCTCTTCATGAACTTCTACATCAACAGCTACAGAGGGAAAAAGAAGAATGTGGAAAAACAGAATGGAGTTTTAGAATCGAATGTCGATGAGAGATTATTGAAAACTCGCTAATAATAATGTTTAAAAGATGTGTGATTTTAGATTATAGATTTAATAATAAAGTATTTTTTATTCGATTTTATTTTAATTTTAGCTAAATATTTGTTAATTTTTACATAATATCACGCATTTTATCCCCCAAGGGATAGGCAGAGGTGCACATTACGGCACTGTACAATGTAACACCCACTTCTAACTAATTAATGTTATCAGCCCCATGTTATAGAGGGTCAGTCTATTGCCAAACACAGTGTACAATCCTAGACTCCGTGCTACTACATACTGAGAATGTTTTTTAAAAACCGAGTCATATTTTGCCGGAAACCAGGAGTAGGAACGGGGTGGTTTTTAGTCAGTAAGAGTCTGACACTCCGTCTCGCCTCACAAAGACGGATGAAGAATTTCACCCTTAAAAAAAGACCCCTTGCCCTTGCAGAAAAGTGTTTGATACACTCAGAAGAAGGTTTTAGTATATTATTAAACCAACTTCAAAAAAAGGGGGTTTAAGTCGGTTTTTTTAAACGTAGTTTGTAAAACCTGCCTCGTTGGCCGAATAGTCGCAAGTGTGACTGCCGGGCAAGAGGTCTTGGGTTCAATTCCCGGGTCAGGCAAAGCACTACTGAGTTTTTAAAATTCTCAGTAGTACTTCGGGGATAAAAGGCGTGAAGTTATGTTATGTTATGTTAGTTTGTAAAGTATTATTGTATATCTGTTTATTGATAGAATAGATTCGCTTAGTGATAAAATTAAACAATAATCTGTGAAACGATTTGAAAACTATTAGACAGGTAGCTAGTGTATTAATTAAACAGGTTACAACCTATTTTAATTTCGTAGATTTTGTTAAATAATTAGTTTTTTCTGTTAAATAAATGCAATAGGCAGATATTTACTTGGCATGAATATACAAAATTTTACAAAATAAAGTGTCATCCAACATGTTTGTCTGTCTCCTTAATAGGGTAGATGCCTTGTTTTTATTTTAATGTCCGTCTGGTAGGTTATTTTAAATCATTAGACACGTATTTTTATTTTCTTACAGAATCTAATACTTTCGACGATATATTGATTTCAAATGTCGCGTGACGTCACTTCTATGTACATTTTATTCATAGAAACTACGTTTTAGCCCCCACTCCTAAACTTTAATTCCTTTTATCTAAGTATTGTTTTATTATACGACAAAATAAAAAAATATGTGCCAAATATTTTTTCATTACCTAACTCACGGACTAAGTAGATTTTTTATTTTCATACCCTGTCATCATCCCAATTGTTATGAAAGACTTAAAAATAACCGATGAGTCTGCCATGTAGGTAGTTTTCAGTATCCATATAATGACTCTTTAGAAAGAGAATTTTAATAATTATTCCATCGTGTGCCTATATGTGGATCCAATTGAGATATAATGTATTTTCTATTGTGTCTTCAACAAGACAATTAGGTTCACCTTTTATAACCTGCCTGCCTGATGAAAAGGTAGTGTAACATTTGAAATTTGCACCACAATTATGCCCATACAAACATGGACGGCGTAACGAAATTAGTGGACGACTACGCCCATTTCTCTTTTTGTTATGGGAGGAAAATCGTCAAATGAATTTTTCCCGCCTGGGTGAGGCGGGAGGGAGTGTCAGACTCTTACTGACTAAAAACCACCCCGTTCCTTCTCCTGCATTTCAAGCCGGAGCTCCGGTAACCTTTTACGTTCTCTGCGGCTCCGTATCGGCATCAGGCCGCATAAATTATCTCCCATAATCCTTAACAATCCTCAAAATACTAATTCCCAAAATACCACTTACTTATTTGTAATACCTATAGTATTCCGGGTGTCCATGGGTGACGTCGATTGCTTACCATCAGAAAAAAACCTATTATAAATTCATCTATTATAAACTATTATAATAAATAAAAAAAAAAAACCTATTATAAAATCATCATCATCAAATCATCATTTTAGCGCAGATTACTCACTACTGAAATCGTATTTAATTTTAATTAGGATTAAGTATTTAAAAATAATACTTTTATAAACTACGTTTCAAAAACCGACTTAAACTCCTTTTTGTTGGAGTCTATTAGGTACCTAATGTACTAAAACCTTTTCTTAAGTGTAACAAACACTATTTTGAAAACTACATCAAAGGTATCTAATATCCATAAATACAAGTCAAAATGAGAACCTCCTCCTTTTTTAAAATTCAGTTAACAGTTTTAAAACGCTAATTAAATGATTAAGAATATGTTCTATAAAAATAGTTTGAATGTTGCGAACATTAATTACCTGTATTACATTTTGCTAACGGTATACCTTACAAACCTGATGATTAATAATAAATAAATTACTCACGTATAACAATTAATTTCGTGTTGTATAGTCAAATTACAAGAAAACAAAATAGTCACCCAATAAAACCTTGACTTATTTTGACGTTTCAGTGACACGTCATTTATTTTCTTACAATTAAACCGATCGATAATTGATTTGAATTTTTAATAAACTTGAACACACCGTGACCTTTCGCACTAATGACGATTACTTTTGAAACAGGCAAATAGGTAGCCTACCGTAGATTGTATTTAAATAAATCGGTAAATTCCGCAGAAATTTTGAAATTTGGCAAAACTCCACTTCAGGCTCCTAGCCGGTGAGTAGTAAAATATAATTTAGTTTTATATTACAGTCTAATGTAATCTTGTCCTTCTTTTATTGGATTAATATTATTCAGTACTGTTTTTCTGCTGGGTTTTTAATCTAATTTACATTTACACAAAATTTAATACATACCTAGATTAGAATTATTTTTTTTTTGATGCCTTAAGATATAGCATTTTTATTTTATTTTTTTAGGTGTACTATATATTTTAATTGCTTATTTAAATTTTAAGTTGTATCTTTTATTTATTTAATTTAAAATCTTATGAATACAATTATGCTCCATATATACGGTACGCTCACATGAACTACACTAAAAACTTAAGCTTTGGATTTATTGTTTTTCAGAAAAAAATTACTTATGCAACTTCTAGAACAAACAATAGGTACGACATTTCACATTCAGTTGTAATTTTAATTGCATCGATAGTTCACGATTATTATTTATATTAATAAACGATTAAATTATTGAGTGTGGGAGCCCAGTCGGTGACTGAGGGAAAATTTCACAAGATATCCTAAGTAAATCCTAGGTATTATAACACGGCCTCACAGAAAACCGACGTGAAACAACTCTTGCGTTGTTTTCCGTCGTGTGGGTGGGGTAACCGGGGGCCCAATTACCCCCTCCTTAATCTCTCCAAATCCCGAATCCCTGCAATAATCCATTCCTAATCCCTAAAAGGATGGTATCGCAATTGTAACGCATTTGGTCTTCTGGTGTCCATGGGCGACACCGATTGCTTAGTATCAGGTGATCCATCTGCTCGTTTATCGCCTTATTTAATAAAAAAAACTGAATGCGTTTTGTAAAACTAACTTATTTATGAACATTAAACAGATAGTAAAGTTAGCCAATACCTAATATAGGAACAGGTAACACATTTGAATGAATGTTCGCAAAAACATGCTCATAAATTTAAGAAAAAATCCGCCATTAATATTAATACGATTACGTTACATAAAGATTATTCAATATTTTGAGAAAGCATGTCACGTCGAGTCTACTAGAATATTTTGTACCAAAACCAGTCGGTAACTGATGAAGATTTCGTACGAGATCCTAGTTCAACAATTGGTCACGAATCTAACAATATTTTAAGTATTCATAATTTCACTTTTATTTATTTCCGCCAATCCCATGAATAATTAGACTCGACTTGCGAAGTCGTCGTAAGGAATTTGAAACAATTGTAGGTTTCGAAGTAGCCATTATACAACAATATTTGATGTAATTCGAGTACCTAGTGTAAAATAATACATTTTATTTACCGTGTTATGAATGTACTTGTCATAATCTTATCTCAATTCTATTGTCATGAATTATATTACAATTTCAATTGAATTGTAGTATAACTTTATTACTGATTAATAAATATTTCTTATTTAAATGAAAGATATTAAATGGAAAATAATTATAGTTGAATTATATAAAACAATGACTGATTTCAAACGTATCACCTTAAATGTATCCTTTACGTACAATTGTCCAACTACAATACAATTTTTTTTTTCATATACAATTTTATAAACTTTGAAGGGATGAACTTCGGATAGATGAACCTGTTCATAACTCCATAAAAGAGTGTGAAAATTATATTTCTAGTGAGTGAATATACAGATATATAGCCTAAAGTAATATTCGGTCTTAATCAAAATCTTTGGATCGATCTCTGTTTTTGATAAAACCTCCATACAGTAAGTACTACATCCATGCTCTCAAATCTCAAAAATCGAACTTATTTTTTTTTCTTTTAAATAAAACGTTGCCCCACACTAGGATTTTCTCCTGTGTCGTGGGTGCGTTTACAAACATACAAGTTAACATACACAATCACAGATCTTGGAATGCAATTGGTAATTCATTTTGAACCTTATATTTGAAGATAGCAGCCAAGTTATTGAGGCTGACTTTGTACCAATATTAAAATAAGACACACTTAATAAATCTTTACGCATACTTTTTTACCTTCAATACATTCAATACTAATAATGATTACGTGCAAAGTAAAGGCTGGCTATAGTAAACACATTCTATTCAACTGGCTACATCAAACTCGACACGTGCTAACACATGTGCGACCCACGTTTGCCCAATAAACAGGCGAAGTGAAAACACCAACGTGGACCCCGCAAATGTAATAAAATAACTGGCCAGCGACAGTATTTGAATATTTACTTTTAACAAACAACTGGAAAATATAAATGTTAATATTGTGAAGAGAAAATTAGTAAATGTTTTTTAAACACAAAACAGTCCTACTATAACTAGAATGTTGCTGTTATAAAATGATTACTTCATAGCAAGAAAACGATATAGGCCCAGTATGATATGATACCACGGCCTTACAGAAA